TAGGTATTGTACGAGCACTACCACAAAAATAGGAAAAAGTAACACATAATATAGAATTGTTAAGTTGAATAAGCGTTCTCTATAAATATATAGAACGCCTTTGATAGAAAACTGTGTTATAAGTTAAATCAAATAGAACGCCTTTTTTATTGAACTGTTCTATTTGATTTTACTATAGAAAAGTAAAATAAAATATTGAATTTGACTTTATATTATAGGATGGTGTTATGAGATGAGCGTTCTATTTGATTTTAGTAATAAAAAAAACACAATGGGCGCGCAGTTTCCCGCGAGGCCAAATATTTAGTTTTGGTAAAAAATTAACTTTAACTAAAATAAAGCCTATGGCATTTTACCAAAAGGGAAAAAAAGGCTAAAATAATAAAAAAAAAAAAAAAAAAAAAAAAAAAAAAGTAAAAACCCTCTGACATTGAAACTCCAAAACTTCCTCTCCACCTCCACGACTCCACCTCCATAACTGCAATTCTTCTCCACCGTTTATCCACCGGCTGCCGCTTTTCCGATCCTTTCCAATTCATCAATAGGCGCTTCTCATCTCAGAAACATAGAAGCCAGGTTCGTAATTTTTAGTATGATTTTTATTTTACAAATACGAACCCTATGTTATTGGCATGTTAATTAGTTTACGATTAGCAAGTTTTGAGATGATATTATTGGAATTCTTGCTGTTAAACAATGAATTATGAGCATTAGTTCCATTTATTTCTGATTTTCGGCATTATTCATGTATTTAATCGAGTGTGATTCTATTTAATTGTAATTAAAATTGGGTGCATGAATATATTGTGATGAAATCCTTGAATTGATCTGAATTTCGAAATTGAAAATTATGATACTACTTTACTGTATTCGTGTTTTTTGTTTTTATTGAAATGCTGGAAATCATGTGAAGGAGTATACCATGAGTAGATAGTAGTCGATTGTACAAGGGACAATACTCTGAACAAACAAATGAGTATACAAAAACTAGATTACCCACTTAATTTTAATAAGTTTAGACACTGAGTGTCAATCAAAATTTATACTAGTAGGAATGAAATTATGAACAAACAAATAATAATACTAAATAGATTCTCTAAGATTAAAGAAAAGTTGAAAATAATGAAACTTATATATAGAAAAGCCTTGCAGTAGCAATAGTATAAGATGATAAAGTATAACTAAGAACAACAAAGCACTAACTAACTACTCCTAAGTAACACATCAAACTAATAAAAAAGTAATGGACTATAATTAAAATTAAAATTAAAAAGAGTTTAAATATTGAGGAGGTTACTCTATTTTACAGCACATGAGAGTTTGAATGATATTAAAATTATAATTAACTTTAGTTTTATTGATAAGGACTCAATGTCTTTGAGTGCATATTTATCTTTATTAACATATATTACACTTTTTTTATGTATAGATTCATGTTTCTCGTTTTATTTTATAGTGTTTTGAAATGGATAATAGTTGGATTACAACCAAAAAACCCGGAGACCCAGAATATGATGCCGGAGTTGTCGAATTTATTAAATTAGCAGTTACGAATAGTGAAGGTCGTGATGTTATTCCGTGTCCTTGCCATATCTGCCATAATCTTAGTTATCACAAGGTTGATGTAATACTTGCTCATTCGAGTAAATGGGAATTTGATCGAACATATACTTGTTGGTATCGCCATGGAGAAAGTAGAGTAGGAACTTCATCAATGGGTGAAAAAATGGATAATTCTAATGTTCATGGTGAATATGAGGGTGATAACTTAGATGACATGATAGATGAATTTGAGGAAAGGGTTGAGAATGATCCTGATGTGACCATTGAGGATTTGATAAGTGATTCCGAGAAGCCCTTATATGGAGGTTGTGACAAGTACACAAGATTGTCTGGTGTACTTAAGCTGTACAATATAAAGGCGGGTCATGGCTTGACAGATTCGAGTTTTAATGCATTACTTGAGTTTTTGATTGACATGCTTCCTCCTGATAATGTTTTACCGAGTTCTACATATGAGGCAAAAAAAATATTGTGTACAAATGGGCTTGCATTATGATAGAATTCATGCTTGTCCTAATGATTGCATACTGTACCGAAAAGAATATGAATCTCTTAAGAGTTGCCCTCAATGCAATGTCTCAAGATACAAAATAACAGAAGCAGTTCCAGCTAATGTGTTACTGTACTTCCCAATTATTCAAAGATTCAAACGTATGTATTCGAATCCTGAAGAGGCAAAGAAATTGACATGGCATGAATTTGGGAGAAAAAAGATGGATTACTTAGACACCCAACTGATTCTCCACAATGGAAGTCTATTGATGACAAATGGGATGATTTTGGTCTTGAAGAACGAAACCTCCGCCTCGCATTGTCTACTGATGGAATGAATCCATATGGCTCTCTAAGTAGCACCCGTACTACTTGGCCAGTTATGTTGGTCATTTACAACTTGCCTCCCTCCTTATGCATGAAAAGAAAATACATAATATTGTCAATGATAATTCCTAGACCAAAACAGCCTAGAAATGATATTTGTGTGCACTTGGCGCCTCTCATTGACGATTTGTTATTGTTGTGGGAGACGGGGGTGGAAGTGTTTGATGCTAACCGAAAAGAATTTTTCAATCTGAGAGCATTATTATTCTGCACAATCCAAGATTTTCCAGCATATGGTAATCTTTCAGGGTATAGTGTCAAAGGAACCGCTCCTTGCCCATATGCGAAGACCATTGGAAGGGAGAGTATATGAAAGGATCTAAAAAAACAGTCTACTATGACCATTGCCCATTTCTTCCTTGTGATCATTACTATTGAATAATGAAAAAGGCTTTTACTGGAAAACAGGTGTTTTCTAGCCAACCACATGTCTCTTCTAGCCTTAAAGTGTATGAAAAGGTTAAATACATTCGAATTACATTTGGCAAGTTGAAGAAAAATAAAGATGTTATTCCTAAACAGGGGTACAAGAAGTGTTCGAAATTTTGGCGCCTTCCTTATTGGAGATTTCTCTATGTACGACATTGTTTAGATGTGATGCACATTTAGAAGAATGTATGTGATAGTCTGATTGGCACTTTATTAGACATTAATGGTAGGACAAAAGATAGTAAAGGTGCTCGGTTAGATTTAGCAAAAATGAACATTAGAAGTGAGCTTCATGCTATTAAGTCTGGAGACCGTTCATACTTCCTGCTGCGTATACACTATTTAAGAAAGAAAAGACAGTGCTTTGTGCATCCTTAGCTGGGGTAAAAGTGCCTGAGGGTTTTTCTTCTAACATATCATCTCTTGTTTCAATGCAAAATTTGAAACTTGTGGGTCTTAAGTCTCATGATTGTCATGTTTTGATGCAATATCTCCTACCTATTGCTATTCGTTCTATTTTACCGAAAAATGCGCGATATGCCATTATTAGGTTATGTTCTTTCTTTAATGCAATATATAGTAATGTCTTTATTCCTAGTGATTTGGAGTCTATGGAAACAAAAATTGTTGTCATTTTATGCCAACTTGAGATGTATTTTCCCCCGACATTTTTCGATATCATGGTTTATCTACCTATTCACTTGGTTAGAGAGATAAAATATTGTGGTCCCGTGCATATGAGAAGTTCATGGCCTTTTGAAAGGCAAATGAAAACATATAAGGGATATGTTAAGAATCTTTCTCGACCAGAAGCTTGTATAGCAGAGAAAATGGTATATGAATTAGCTATTGAATTTAGTGTGGAACTTCTTGGAGATATGAAGACAATAGGGCTTCCAACTTCTCGACACAGCAGGAGATTTGATGGTAAAGGGACTATAGGTCGTAGAAACAGTGACTTGTCTCGAGATAAATGGCGTATGACACACACATATATTCTTCACAATGAAGAGGAAGTTGCACCTTACGTCGAGGGCATATGAATCTTTTAAGGAGATTAATTCAGAAGGCTAATCCAAAAGCAGTAGCTGCTGAACATAACAAATCATTTTCCATCTGGTTCAAGAATGATGTAATGAGTGAGCTTCAAGTTTCATTAACTCTGATTTCAGATCGTCTTAATAGTTTGGCTTATGGACCAGATTTTCAAGCCACTTTTTATTAGGGATATGCCATCAATGGTTGGACTTTTTATACAAATATCAAGATTATAAGAGTACTATGCAAAATAGTGGGGTATCTTTAGAAGCAGAAGCAATGCATTTTGCAAGTGCGAAAGACAATCGTCCTGTTTTGTGTAAAATGCAATATTATGGGGTAATTGAAGAAATATGTGAGTTACATTACTCTGATTTTTCTGTACCCGTGTTCTGTTGTAAATGGGTTGATAACAACAATAATGTTGTCCATGATGACATGGGGCATTCTTCAATGAAACTTCACAAGATTGGTCATAAGGAAGATCCTTATATTTTAACTTGCCAAGCTAAACAAGTTTTCTATATGACTAATCAACTTGATATGAGAAGGTCGATTGTTATAGCACCAAGACCTCGATATGCCATTGATGAACATGATGACAATGTTGATTTTGAGGAAAGGCCTGGGTTAAATGATGATGTTGTGAATGATGATGTTGATGCTGATGATTCATTAACATATGTACGCAATGATCATGAAGAAGGGATTTAGGTCAATAACAAAGATGGTAATACTAAAAGACCTCAAAAGCGGCGTCGTAAAACAAAGTGTCCATAGAAAGCTGGCAAGGTAGAGGAATTAGAAGATCATTTGTGATAACCTTAACTCTAAACAGAGTTTCGGTTCTTAATTTCTTATATTAGTGCAGTAGCTGGATTATTTGGTGTGTGTACTTAATAGTTATTTTATAATAATCAAGTTTTCATTCTTCCCATAAAAAGTCTTCTAAGAAATTAATGTTTCTGGTAACCAAGTAAAGTTAATATCCTAATGTTGACAAGTAGTGCTATCATGTGTACGTTTCTCTTTCTTTAACCATCTATATTAATTGTGCTTAAACCTCATAAAATTTTCTATTTTCACAGGTTGATTGCAAAAAAGAGAAAGCAAATAAGTTCCTCTCAAGAGACCGCTGAACGTGAGAATCGCAGGGGTCGTACAGTTTGTACGGTAGTTGGAAAAGCAATATAAAATGGCACCAAAATCCCCTTACAATGCAATCATAGGAAATTGCCTTGTGGGGATCATAAAGCTGCCTTTGCTACTTACATCGTCGTAGTTGCTCGCCAACGAGTAAGTATCAATTATAGTCACTGGGGAAAACTTCCAAAAGAAGTCATCGATGAAGTTTATAGTTTTATTACGGTAAGAAAGTATGTTGGTTAGCTTATGTTAATATAAGCATGCATTAATTTTCACATTTGATTATTGTGCTATTTTATTGTACTAGTCTCGGCAGGGCAACAATAACTGTACCTTGCCATCCTAGCTGCTACAGCAGTCTCGGCAGGGTAGCAGTAGCTGCAACCATCCCAGGCCAACTTCAAGAACAATGCATAGAGTTCTGATTTCCAGCACCCTTGTAGCTCTATATGTTTGTCTGTGTTTTGTGTCTGCTGACAACAAGTTTTCTACGTAAGATAAAGTGTTCAGATGAACACAAAACAAAATCCATTCATTTAATTTGAGGTACCCTATATTGAATCAGCTTCATTCCCTTATCCACTCTAATCAATTTTAGAATCCTCCTTTGTACTGGAAGAATTTAAACCATCAGTAATCGGTGATATGTGTCTAATAGTTTCCTCACTTAGCTCAAGAGGCCACAGGGACTATGCAATAATTGGAAATCCTTGGATGGAAGTGGGATTTTATTTCAATGGATTTTGTGACTTCCTTCCAAAATCAAGGAATGGAAATGACACCATTTGGTTAGTGGTTGACAGACTTACAAAATCTACGGTGTTTATATCAATGAAGGAGACTTGGAAGATGGGACAACTTGCAAAAGCTTACATTAAGAATGTTGTGAGATTACACGGAGTTCCAAAGGATATTGTGTCTAATAGAGATTCCAGATTTCTTTCAGAATTCTAGAAAAGCGTGAAAGAAAATTTTGGTACCACACTAAAGATGAGTACATTGTTTCACCCTACCACAGATGGACAAACTGAGAGAACCATTCAAACCTTGGAAGACATGTTGAGAGCTTGTGTTATAGACATCCAAGGAGGATGGGAGGATAGCTTGGATTTATTGAAATTTATTACAATAATAGTTACCATGCGAGCATTGGAATGGCTCCATTTGAGGCATTATATGGGAGAAAGTGTCGTAGTCTAATTTGTTGGAACGATATAAGTGAGACAATGATTCTAGGGCCTCAAATGATCGAAGATACAGTGAAACAAGTTAAGGGAATTCAAACTAAGATTCAGGCAGCTCAAGATCGCCAAAAGAGCTACGCAGAATTGAACCGTAGAGAGGAAGAATTTGATGTTGGTGACAAAGTATTATTAAAAGTATCACAATGAAAAGTGTAATGAGATTTTGAAAGAAAGGAAAACTGAGCCCAAATTACATTGGTCCATATGATATACTGTAAAGAATAGGCAAAGTAGCTTATGGGTTGGCCTTACCTATGGAGCTAAGCAAAGTGCATGATGTATTTCATGTAGTGTCTCAATTAAGAAGGTATATATCCGATAAATCCCATGCACTACAACCTCAAACCATTGAGATAGACAAAAGTTTAACTTATGAAGAGAGACCTGTCAAAATCCTTGACAGTAAAGTGAGTAGTACACGCGATAAGAATGTCAAGATTGTGAAAGTATTGTGATCTAACCAAGAATATGAGGAAGCCACTGGGAGGCAAAAGATGAAATGAAAAAGAAATACACCCAGACCTGTCAAAAAGGTTTGTAGAATTTTGCGCACCGTTTTGTTAATATAATTTAAGAACCATTAGTGAATCGTAAAAATAATCAATTTGGTTTAGTTTTTGTAGAATTTGTAGTTCTATGAAATATAAATTATTGAAAATGCGTGTGTAAGTTATAATTATTTCATATGGAATATATTAATGTTAACAATTATTTAGATCACAAACAATTGATAAGCATTGACACTCATGTTGATATGGAGTAAAGAAAATTTGAAAAGTTAATATCATTGCTTGGATTGGATCACAGTGCACGAACAGTTTCACCCCTAAATAGTTTTATCACCCCTAAAGAATTTGCTCATCCCTAAATTAATTATTCACCCCTATAAAATTTTCTCACCTCTAAGAATCATATACAATTACCTTACTCCTTAATAATTTATTTACCCTTAAAAATCATATGCAAATTAACTCACCCCTAATAAATTGTCCACTTCTAAATAGTTTGCTCATTAGTAAATAATTTGACCAATCTTAAAAATCATATACAATTAACCCACCCTTAAATAAATTACTCACCCCACCCCTACAAAAATTGTTGATTTCTATAATAAATCAAGAATACATATCCCAAACAACTCACTTGTTTATAAACAAATGATGGAATACCAAATTATAATATCAACCAAACAAATAGATCTCATTCTTAAAATCTACTAAATTCCATTCCAAATTCATCTATGCACAAAAATAGTATAAAACAACAAGGAGTAAAATAAAATAAATACTACGATCATTCTAGTACACCCAAAATGAAAAAACATAAACATTAGAATTAGAATATACATAATAGGCATACATGTAAGTAATTAATTAAACTATAATAATAACAATTCAATGGAATAATGAAATAATCACTTGATTGGCAAAACCCCAAAAGTGCACATATGACAACACTCCCCCATAGCTCAGCCATGACATAAAACAAACAGAAACTCCATATCCTCAGAATAGCAAGTGGACCGAGAAACCTCAATCCGAGCACGGCCAAAACTCAGATGCTTATCAGCAAGAGCAGTGGGGTGGAAATAATTTCTCATAGGATACAAAACAAACCCAAAATCCCCAAAGAAGGCAATGAAGGGAAGAATAGCACAATATAAAACAATGTCTTCCTAGGCAAAACATCATCCAATTTAGTTAATAACACCATAAAACCAAAAACCATTTAGAGATAATGAATGTGTAAAGAAACTAATTCATAGGTAAATTTAAATCGCAGTAGCAAAGCTATAAGGATCATTATTACAAGTAACAGAAAATAACCTAGTGTGAAGCAACTAAATATCTTCTCAAGGCTAGAGGGATGTTCTTCATTTAAGGTATAAGTTCTGAGATCAACCTTCTTTAATCAGGGAGCACCATCCATGCTAACCTTGACAAAAAGCGGATTAGTGTTCTTCGAAGTGGTGGCCAACGTGTCTTTTTGGAATGATCTAAAGGAGGCCAACCAACAAAAACATAGTTTTCATTTCAAAATAACTATATACTTGAGAATAAAATCCATCATTTTTATCTCAAAACTCGAGCTATGGGACAAAATACTTCATTCTACCCTGAAAAAATTGTACAGGAATAGTTCATACAATTCTCACCTGGCCGTAATGAGATTTCGGGCCATTGGAGAACCCATGATTCCAAGACCTAGAAACCCAACTCGACTTGGAAATTAATCTGCAATGATACACATTGATGTTCAGAATTGGCTATAATTAATAAAATCGTTATTCATCAACATAATTGAGAACAATCCATCCCGAAATTTCTCATAATCCTCACAAGAACATTCATTGTATCAAAAAATTCTGATTCATTTCAAAATATTTAGAAACAAATGTAGGAAAAAGTTTTCAAGAATTTTTTTAAGATTATTTAAAAGGAATGATTAAGATAAATGATGGTAATGGATTGAGGATTAGGAAAGACCATTTACCTATTCCAATATTGAAAAACATACGCAGCCCAACTACGCGAAGAAAAACTGGATGAAGCAGTTAGCCTCCTCTGAGTTTGAAGAAACTCACGAGCGTCCATATTCTTCTAGATCTCCTCCTCTTTCAGCCTGAAATCCAACAAAGCAGAGTAAGTGAGCACCTCATTAGCCATATAAATAAGTAAAACTACTATTGAAGCTTAGAATGCCAAAATAAGCCTTGGAAAAAAAAAAGACAAAATCATAAATCGATGCATGCATGAAACAAAAAATCCATCGATCAAAGTAAACAACAGTTAAAAATGGATCAATTAATCAAGCAAAGATGAAATACCCAAACAAAATCATGAAATTGACACTACCTAAAGATCTGAGCTTGAAGATCTACACAAACCCAGAAACAATGGAACACTCAAATTATAATCCATGAACCAGCTTTAAGGAGTATATAAAATCAGTTTTTGACATACCCAAAGTGTAAGCGAGCAAATTGATCAAGAGGTCCTGACATTAATTTTCGATCAAATTGAACCCTAACATATTCAACCCACAAAGAGTAAATCCATTTTTTTTCTCAAAATATACTAAAACAGAATTAAAAAACAAAAATCAACAATTGAATTGACTAATTAAACAATTCCACCTCGTACGAAAAACTTCAATTAAACAGCAAACTAAAAAAAAAAAAAATCACCCATTATTGAAAAAAAAACGTATGAATGAAGGAATCAACAGGAACTTGAAGATGAACACATTGTAGCTATAATTTCTGACATCAAAATCAAAATTTTAAAAAATTAAAAATGATCGGTTTGTGGTTGATTTACAAAAATAATGAGTAAATCCGATTATAAAATAGAAACTTGATGATTGAAAAACACATTACCTTGTAAGCTGCTTCAATAAATGGGAAAGCTCATAATTTGCTTTAATGGAGGAACGGAATCCTCAAAAGCTATTTCTATGGAGGAGTGAAAACCTAAAACCCGCTTCAAAAACAGATTCAATCAACAAGAACAAGCAGCATTGTAATTGTCCACCAAGTGCAGTCGTCGCCAGGGAGATGAGGTCGGAGGAGGCGAGGAAGTTGTTGTGTTATCAGAGAACATGGAGAAAGGTGAGGAGAGAGAAAGCAAGTAAGTAGAGAAAAAGATTGATTCAAAGAAAACAAAAGTAACCTGCCAGTAAAAGGGTAAAGACGTCAATAAACTTTTTTTTAGTAATCTAGGGTAGAACCGTCAGCACACTGTTCATAAGAAGATACCCATTTTTTCACCAATTTGGCTTTTAAGAGTTATAGATTTTTGGTAATTTTTGTGCTTTTTGCACAATTTTAATGAGTATTTTGAGTTATTGTGTTAAAAATGAGACAGAGAAAGATAAAGGTATGACAAAGAGTACAACAATATTATACTAAGTGAGGAAAAACTTTGGATTTTGTTTCCCTAGTTTTGGGACTAAACTTCTTTTAAGTAGAGTAGACTGTAATACCTCGTATTTTATACATATTTAAAATAAAATAAGTATTTTGAGAAGTAATTAATTAATTGAATTAATTTACTTAAAGTATTTTAATTAATTAATTAAAATAAGTTAGAAAATAATTTTAAAAGGAAATTTTATTTAATTAATTAATTTAATTAAGTTGGGGTTTAATTTAAGGAAAGATTTAATTTAGTAAAGTTTTATTAGGGATGGGATTAGGAAAATTTAAAAGAGAAAAGTTAGGGAAAAAAGGTTTGTAGAAAAGGGATATAAATTAGAGCTATTCATGGGCAGGACGGCCCGCTAAGCCCGCCCAACCCGCTCGCAAAAAGGCGGGCTTGGACAACCTTTTTGGAAAAAAATTGATATTTGGGCGGGCTAGGCCCGCCCGTTAATGTAAATGGGTGGATATGGACAAGAAAATATGTGTCGTGGACTAGCCCGCCCGGCCCGTTTATAATAATAATTATACTATTTTAATAAATTTTATTTAATTAGTGTTATATATAATAATAAAAATAATACTTTGTGTATTTAAAAAAATAAAATAACCAATACAGAGAGACTATAATGAACTATAAGCTTTTACTGGTTACAATTATTTATTTTAATTTTATATTATGACATATTTTGTGTGTTTTTAATTTCTTTTATCATTATTTGTGAATAAAAAATTTTAAGACAACTCTACAAAAATAATTTTAGCACATGTAAATAATAAATAGATTAATTAGTGTTAAAAAAAATTAAACAAAAATTTGAGGCCCGTTATCCCGCGGGCAAGCCCGACCCGTTTAGTAAGCGGACATGGAAAAAGTATCAAGCCTGTTTAAATGGGTTTGGGTTTAATACATGAAGCTCGTTGGACAAATAAATAAGCATAAACCCAGCCCGCTACCCGCCCAAGCCTGCAAATGATCACCTCTAGTATAAATATCCCACATATGAAGTAAATCAAACTTTGTCCAGAGTGGAGAAAACCCAAGGTAAACTTCTCTCTCCTTTCTCCTTATTTTCCTTTCTTTTTCTTTATCCTTTTTCCCCTTCATCTTTTTTTTTTGGCTGTTCTTCCCCCTCCACCACTGCTAGCCGCTAGTAGATGGTGGCCGCCGCCGCCAGCAGCGTCAGCCACCGGCGGTGGCAGCCGGCGTGTGGTGGCTGCCGCTACCCCTTTCCCCCTTTTCGCGTATAAAAAAAATTGAATCTTTATTACTTAAAAATAATTTGTTCCTAAATCTAATTGTTGATTATGAATTTTGGGATTTGATTTGATGTTTGATTATAAGTATTTTGTTAATAAATTTTCAGATTATGTTATTAATTAAAAAGCTCGAATTTTTTAAACCGTATGTTCTTGGTTTGTAAATTTTTGAAGGGTTATGTTGTATACTGCTTTAGATCTTTGATTAAAGTGTTTTAAGGCTTATTTACATCAATTTTAATTGAAATATAGTGCTGGAATTTTTAGTAGAACACTTAAAATCAAGTTTGTTTAAGGAATTTTAATTACCCATTAATTGAGACTAAATTATGATGTTTTAAATATAATTTCAGCATGTTTTAATTAAATTATGATGGGTTTTATAGTAGTATATATTGCTAGAAATTTATGTAAAGTGGATTTTAATACTCTTCTATAATCTTAAATTGTAGGAGACTTCAAAATGAGTGATTTTTACTAGTTTTGCCTATTCTAAGATCGTATACAATGTACGCGTAATTAACATAACTATGTTGATAAAATAACATGCTAAAGGTGTTTGGTTGATTACAAGTAGTATCATGCTAGGTTTGGATTGGAAATTATTATTTGGATGTTATTGGTAATTGGATTGTGAAGCATGATTTATTTTGTGATGGATTAATGATTGGAAAATAATAGTTGGAATATTATTTCTGGACCACATATTTATTTATGGTATGTTAAAGAGAAAGTTTAATTAAACTAAAGGTTTAGTTTGGTTTCGAATATTAAAAAGGAATTTTATTATGGTTCATATAATTTTTATTGACACTATAAGCATGAGGAAAGAGCTAAATAAAAGTGTCAATGTACACAAGGAATTAATTGTATGTTGGTTCCTTAGTGCACTTAAGGTGTTCTTAACACCGCGGGATAGGTTTTGTGGTGCTTTATGCGTTTATGGTGTCATTGGCACCGAGGAAGAATTAAAAGGGATTCAACATTAAATATTATGTACCGTGGTCACTAATTATTCAAGAATTTATTTGGTATATTTGATTGATAGAATAATTATTGTTGATTGCATGATTATGGTTTTAGAGTCATCACCAAGTTTAATAATCTGTAAATAAAGTAAAATGAAAGAGATTACGCACAAAAACTCTTGGAACATATATACCTTAAGTATGAACATATAGGGGAGTTATGGGGTTTTATATTTAACCATAACTTTTACTGGAGTATAGGACGCTGTACATTCCTTTTTATTATTATTATGCGCATGAATTCCGCCACTTAAGAGTGGTTATTGATGCTTGCACGGTTAGCTCCCGTGTTAGTAACCTCAAATTTATTTGGGGCCGGTTGAGGGGGAAACCCGTTCAATGTGTAGTCAATACTAAATAAATTATGTAGTGTCTAATGAGGTTTTGTATTGAATATTGTATGCTTGAGACACAGGTGCAACAAGGTAAGTTGTGTGTTGATAGGAAAATTATATGTTTGTGTGTTGATTATGCTTATGTACTCAGCTTTGCTGATTGTGTGTTTGTATGTTTGTTGGCCTTTTATTTACATTGGCCCTATGATGACCCATTTTTAATGGAGAGTAGTGGAAGCAAGTAGAGATAAGCTTTTCAGGTGATGAAGCATTTACATGAATGGGCATGTGTTAAGAGCAAATCATGCTAGTTTCCATTAGTATATGAATATGTTATTGCTTTAAATTACTTATGACTTTATTTATTTCATGTAACTAACGTAAAGGGTTTTGTATTTCGGTTTTGATTAATAAGGGCCTACAATGGTTCTATGTTGTAAGTTAATTTTATTTTACTTCGTACGACTTTGGTTTGAGTTTACTTTCGTTGTTTGATTTCTATTGTTGACTTGGTTTGAAACATTTTGAAATTAATCTTCCGATCCGTATGTCTTTGATAGTTTCCTTAACCGTTATCACGTTGGCTGTAATGTCTTAGATATTCCTATTTAATGTTTTAAACAGGGCAAAACAGGTATTTTAAAAGGAAGGAATTTCTAGGGTGTTACATCTGGATTCAGAGGACAATTGAAATCTCCAAATACAATCCTGACCTTAGCATCATTTGAACCATAAACAAAAGAGCATTCAAAACTCTTTTGCAAAGGCTTATTAACAATTCTTGTATGAATGATTTTAGGCCCAGTAAATACAATATCCACACTAAACATCTCTTGCAGCCATGCCACCAAGAACCTACCAATCTACCATCCTTTACTTAACTAAATTTAGTAGTCACACACCATCCAGAAAACATTCTCTGATAGATAACTAGGAAATTTTTAATTAACACTTTAGTCTCCAACAGACAACATAAGCAAGTATTATTTTGAAGCAAATAATTCTTGATCTCATGTTGCTTATTAGGGCTGTTTAATCTTCTTATATTCGATACAATAGCTTTATCCATAACCCTCTTTAGGAGTAGCACCACCAAAAGTTTCCATAGTTACAGGAATATCTCCAAACATGACCATTGCCTCATCACTAGCAAGGGATTCAAAAGCATTTTTAACTTCCACCCCCCCTTTTGATTAGGTTGCCTAATAGGACTAACCTGTTTCTTATCAGTAGGATAAAAAACTGGATCAAAATTTGTGAGAACATTCTCTGAAGTATCCACTTGCACCACCTTAGGTCTCCATACCTTCTTCAACGTCTTAGTTTGACAATATTCCTCAAAATTACCCAACCCCCCACATGTCACACATCATTTAGGCCTCCAATCCTAAGAAACAGGTTAAATAAATAGAACACCCTTCTCATCCATAAATTCAATGCTATCAGGGAAATCTTGCTTCAGAATTATTTCCACCAAATATCTCATATAAGCCACCTTATCTCTTGCCAAAGTTGCTACATCAGGTTTAATTGGTTTCCCATTTAATCCTATTTTTTTTCTCTAAACAAGCTATCCCTTAATACTTTAATGGTAAATCATGAAGCTTAACCTAAATTGGTATTCTAGTCACATCATGCGCATTCAACTCCATCCCATCCTCCCATTGTTTCAAACAAACAGGTCCATCAACGAATTCGGGTGAGTCAAAGCTTTATCTCGTGATTCAAAATTCAAAAAAACACTTCTTCAATGGAATTACCTTATCAATATTAGTTTTTCCCCAAATTCTCCAACAAAACTCCTCAAAAGTCTTAATATGAGGATTAGCCATAGTAAATGCAACTACCCTCTATTTCCAATAATCCAATTCACCCTCAATATCATCCACAGTCAATTGAAAAACAAATTTATCAACACATTCAGTCTTTTTGTTAGCAGAACAAATCGGATGAGAAGAAATAGGTATCTGAGGATTAAGAGAAAACCCTCTATTTTTCAAACCCATAAACCCATTCTCACTCACCTTCAAAGTTGTCGTCCATTCCAATAACTTTGATTTCTCCCTAGAATTAGTTATTATTTCCACCAAAGATTGTTCAGGAGACAAGATATAGCGCTCCAATCCATCCTCAACATCGAACTCCAATGGATGAATTTGACCCATATTTCCTCGAGATTTCGTATTGTACCCAACCGCTAATTGACCCGTCAAATCCTCATCCTGCGTACTGAGTTCCGAAACCATCTCCTCACCCTTCGAATTCTAATTCCTCTTGTTCTTCCTTGCCATGGCCAAGAAAAGCTAGAGAAAGAGAGAAAAACTAGAGACAGAAAGTTTATTTGATTGGATTGATGTTGGTAATTTAAAGGAGTCATTTCTATAAAGTTAC